CACACACACACACACACACACACACACACACACACACACACACACACACACTTTATCTAAACTCTCAGCAGAACAAACACTGAAGTGGAAATCAGATCCGTTTGCGTCAGTCTCACCTGTTATCTTGCTGCTCGGGGTCAACACATCCGAGCACTTCTTCATCCTCACTGTGCCAGCACTCGGATGGATCACATGAAAAGCGGAGCTGGATAAAAGTTCAACATTTTTAAAATGTTTAAATGAAACAAAGGACATGTTGAAGAATAAAAATATAGTTAAAGAAAAGTAGCCTACTGTCCAGGATCATTTTTTTTTTTTTTTTATCCATTAATGTTTCATAACCAATTCGATTTAAATGAGAAAAAAGGATTAGATTTAAGGGGGAAAGACATCAGACTGAGACATAAACACAGACAATCATCAGTCAAAACCACGAAAGAACCCTTAAATGTCTAGATCCAAAGACAAGAGACACACAAACAAAGAAGTTGACTCTCCACCTTTTCTTTTTTTAGAACCAAAGAAGCATCTTAGGCTAAAGATGAAACATCTCCACAAACTTAAAGACGTCCGTCTGCTTTCTTTGTTCAAGCTCTTGAGACTACCATGACCTGTCGGAGTGAGAAACTACAGACATCCTGTGTGCTTACATAGCCTTTGTCCCAGACTTGATGTTCTTACATCTGCTTGTTGGACTTTGGACTACTTTCTAACCACCATTGGATGTTGCTTTTTATGTTTAGCTCTGCCTGTCTGTAGTGTACGCTTTCTGTCCCGTTGACTGTTGATTATGTCACAAGGACATTAAAATTGTACTTACAGTCAAACTCTGGCCCTATTGATGCTCCCATCCAATGGCATTGAGAGAAATGGCACTGAGCCCCCAATAGACAGTAGGGTGTAGTCCAAGCAAATATACACTGCTCAAAAAAATCTCAATGGGAGACAAGTCAGGCAGGATCTCTCTACTGAAATGGACTGGGCAACGTGTTCGGCACTAAAGGGCGTCACTTCGTTTGATGGAAAATAAAATGATCAAGAGGGCTGAATTCAAAGACACCCGAAAAATCAACGGCAGGTTAGTTCGTTTTGCTGAAATTTCATTGAAGCAACTCCAAAAAGTACCAATTTGTTTGCATGCCTGACAATGTTGGGGCATGCTTCTAATGAGACAAGGGATGTTTAGGGAGAGCTCATCGTTGACCTCCTGGACAGATGAACTAAAAAGTCCCAGAGGTGTTCGACTGGATTAAGGTCTGGTGAGTGCAGGGGAAAGTCAGTGGTATTAATTCCTTCATCCTCCAGGAACTGCCTGCATACTCTCGTCACATGAGGCCGGACGTTCTCATGCACCAGGAGGAAACCAGGAACCATCAGCGCAGGGTCTTACAGTGAGTCCAAGGATTTCATCCCTGATACCTAATGCCATTCAGGATGTTGTTGCCTGAGGATGTCTGTGTCTCCCAACATGGATATGCCTCCCCAGACCATCACTGACCAGCACCAAGCTGATCACACTGAAGGATGTTACAGGCGTGGCTTCTCTGAATGTGCTCAGGGTGAACCTGCTGTCACTATGAAAAGAACAGGGCACCAATTCTGGTATTCTATGGCAAAATGCCATTTGGACTCCACAGTGCCAAAAAAGGAGCACAGGGGCCATAAGAGCACATTGGACCCTCAGGCCACCCTCATGAAGTTATCTGTTTGGTCAGAGACATTCACACCAGCAGCCTGCTGGAGCTCCTTTTATAGCTCTGGGCATGCTCATCCTGTACAGAGTATATACCAGACCCACTGATGGGTTAAGGCCTTCTATGGCTCTGTCCAGCTCTCGGAGGGTAACCGCCTGCCAGCTGGAATCTCCTCCATGCTCCTCAGACTGTTGGGAGACACAGCAAACCTTCAGGCAATGGCACGTATTCATGTGCCATCCTGGAGAATTGAAACTACCCCCCCCCACACACACTGACCAGATCAATATCCCAGCTTGATATTATGCTCCAATTAAACAGTGTTTCTAAAACCATGACCCCCCCTCCCTTATTTCTGTCACCATGCTTGAAATCAGACGCCACAAGCACAGATGAAACTGAAGGACGCTGCATGGTCATTGGACAGTTGTCAGCCTTTTTGACTCCAATCAGACCATAACTTACAAAGTGATCGTTGCTGTACTCAATAAGACTTTAAACTAGTGACTGAGACCAAAAGTACAGACAAAGTGTTTACAAAGGTTAAGAGTCATTTTCTCTAAGATTTCCAATCAACCAGAACTTTTCTGTTCTTGGCCAACAGAGGCCTTTTGGTTATTAAAATATTTGCAGTTCAAATGAGTGAAACTAAACTAAAAATTAACATCATTATGTACAACTGAGTTTTTCTCTCAAACATTTCTTCTTTTGTAATTCCTGCCCTAAAATGACCTTCCTTGTTCTTCCTCTTCACTCCAGCTTTTGCTCCTCTCTCTCCAACTCTGATTATTTGTTCTGTCGTCCTCCTGCTGTGTTTTAGACTCAGTGAGACCAGCTCAGTCAGACAAAGGCCATCTGTCTTTGTAATTGGGGCAACACTGCATTACACAAATAAATATTCTCTAACCCTGACCTAATATTTAGCAGTTAAGGCCATGTTAGTAGACATGGAAACACCTTTTAAACAGCCTGGATAAACAAGTTAGTCACAAGTAGAAAAATCGGGTTCTGGCACATACATGGATTAAAATACAAGACACTGGTACCAACATAATGAAGTCAGCTGAATAAAAACCCCAATCTGTTACTGATAAAAAGGTTGAACTAAACTATAAAAGACGAACAACACTTGTGACCGCAAGGGGGTTAAACGCCGCAGGGTCAGTAGATAAAGGCTCTGTATGCTTTGCTTGGGTTTTCTCATTCTGTGCATTTCTTACTTTAAATCCAGCACACATTCATTTGTTTAGTATGTAAAAGATGGATGTGTCACGGCGATTGAGAAGAGCTGTGTGGAAAAGGAAAAGGAGGATCCAAACGCAGGCAGCCGTGAAGGTGATTTATTGAACACGAAAATAAAGAGAGACAAACGGCAAAACGGAGAACTAAACTACTGAGCACGGACACAAACCTGAACATAAAGGAAGGAAGATGGTGGTACATGATGCTGACGGCAGGGACCACACGGATGAAACATGGCAGATACACAGACAGACCAGCAACTACAATGACAGAGGACACGACTTAAATACACGCAGAGAAACACAGGGGAATTACACACAGCTGAGAATAATCAACGAGACGAGAGGTAAAACTGAACACTCACATGAGACAGACCTTCACAATAAAACAGGAAACAAGCGATCACTACACAAGGACGCAGAACTAAACTCACACAAAACATGACACAGATCCTTAACCACGAGTGAACAGAAACATGGAACTTAAATAGTAACCAACAAATCACAAAGGTAACACAACGATCATTCAAGAGATAAACGAAAACATAATAAACTCAAAATGCCGGGTCGAACCCACCCAGAACCGTGACAGGATGAAACCACAGTGATGTCATCCAGTGGTCTTTGGACTGTTTGTTTTATGGAGATAAATGTTTCATCTCAGTTTGCTGCTCCGTTTGGTCCCATTTCATTAACAGCAAAAATATAAAGCTAAGCTAACTGTAGCATAGAGCAGCTCCAACACCACAGTGCAACATGCACGTATATAGTGCATATGTTCAGACAATCTGTGTGCTGTGCTGCACACCTGCACTGTTTTGCTACTGTCGTTAACTAAATGTTTTAATAATATTTCATCACCTTTTAATGTTATTTTATCCTTTTTGTTAGACTTCACTCTTTTTGCCAGAATTAAATTGAGAAATACAAGTTTTAGTTTATTTGGAGAGAAAGGTCACAGGCATGTTACAGATGCACGTCGATTCAAATCAGTTCGTAGTGTGTTTGGAAAAATGACAGCTGGATAAAATCTTTGGCTTCTGTCGCTTTTACGGTCTGCAGTTGGTCCTCTGCTGCCGCTCAGTGGACACAGGTTGAACTGCACCAAGCCTCCTTCAGCTTTTCAACATTTATCTGTTTTCAGTTATTAAAGTCACAGAGCAGATATCTGGTGTCTCACTTGGCAAACTCTTGAAGGCCAAAATCACCTGTCCAAAGAAAGAGTTTAAAAAAGTAAACCAGTGCCGGCTGGCGAACAACATAAGCCTGAGATCGTCTGTCCACAGCTCTGATCATTTATTTTAATCTGGAGAGTCTGTTTGACGAGTGTGCTGGTTTATAGTTTAAGATATTAAATAGCAACACAGACTCATAGCAGCATGAAATGAATTTCATCCACTGGTTCATGTTCCTGAACATGAAATTCAGTGTTCATGTACCGAACTGCAGTATGTGAAAAACTGCTGTAACTCAGAACAATCATGAAAGTGGACCTTTACATATGGACCCACATAAAATATGCAGTATGAGGCTTTGATGACTGCTTTGGAATTTAATGAGAAAAAAAGACAACTTTATATTTTGAGACATTAAATTTTACTCAGTTTATGTTTCATAGTAAATGTGGATTGTTGTGCCAAACTGATGTGAGTTCACACTGGTTCATTTTAAGTTTGTTGCATTCATTTTTTCTCGCCTTTATTCCAACTAAAACACTGAACTAAAACTGTTCACTGCCAACTCATCTGTAGTATTTCTTGATTGAGTGTGAATGTGATTTTGTCGTATCATATTCAGCAGATAAAACATTTGAAGCTAATTATATTATTTATTGTTATTCATTGGTGTCACACTTAGTCACGGTCTGCTGTGCTTCACAGTGTTTGTGTGATGGCAGTGAGTGTTGTAGGTAGTTGAGATCACGCTGCGACTCTTCAGAGGTCCATACACGCGGGCGTCGTGTCCCCAGGATATGGGTGGTGTGTAGGGTGGATGATGGCTTTTTCTGCTTCTGTTTGGGAAGTGACTTTGTTCTAGCAGCTGCTTGTGGGGCCTCAACACCTTATAGAGCTTTGGAGTTGACGTCACGCCGCAATATATAGTGGGAGCGTGGCGCCACAAATCAAAACAAACACACTGTGTTGGAACGACGACGACAAGAAACACAGTTAAAAGCACTGTCCTATCTTCACATATGTTGTTTGTGGAGTACGCGCTTACACTGCGAACCAGTTTCGTAATTACAAGTCGCTGGAGGCGCACATCCAATTTACTAACGGCTGGGTGCAGATTTGGCTATTTTCAAGCCACCAAACTGTGAGTACGTCATCATTCAAACCAGGGTAAGTCAGCTGGAGCGCATCGAGTGTAATAGCCATGGTTCACCCCCCACCACAGTTGATGTTATACATTAATCAATGAACTGCTAAAATCTCGTTGTCATATTATGTGTCCATAATAGTAAAGTTGATGCAAACTCCCACATTGATAATCGGGCAACATATTACATCCATTTCATAGGCAGGCTTCCCTACAGTTGTGCGAAAGAATTAGCGAATCGTTACATAACACGCATGTCTGCAAAGTCACTCCATTCGATGTTTGTTCGCAATTTCTATAACCTCCGAAACCACCAACGATAATATTATTAAGCTATAAAGAGTGATATGAACACATATGTAGAACTTACTGGAATGAAAATGTCCGGTAAGTTAAGTGATATCTGGAGATTGAAGCGAACTGGATATCAGCTCGTCTCACGGCTGCTATCCAGGCTGGACGCCTTCTTTTTGTAACGCCGCCATATGAGCTGCCTCATGTTGCTTCCAGGTTGGCAAAGAATAAAAGCACAAACCCTTTTTAAGCGTATTCCTGTGTCGGTTGTGCGATCGAACATTGCAGCCGACCACACAGCAAGTACGAACCACGGCTGTTGTGTGTGCTTTCGCTCCTTTGTCGCTTGCGCTTTGTTTGGACCTGGAAAATGGCGCATCAGGCCAAAATCCTTTCCACGCCCACCCCTGTGACATCACGCTCCAAAGCCCTATAAGTGTTGCTGTCCCTGAGGAGTGTGCTGATTAGGAGTGACACAGTGCATCCACACTTTATCAGCCTCATAGCCTTCACACGCTGTGAATACTGTGAAAAAACAACACGAAATTATACATTTCTTCAGAAGCTAACTTGTCTTGGAACGTATACACACCCAAAGTGGCGCGCTTTTACAGAAAACCTCCTCCCAAACACACCCCTCCAGGTTTCTCTGCCAATGTGAGCGTAGAAGTCTCCCAGAAGAACAACGCAGTCACCAGAAGCAGCTCCACTGCCCCACTCACTGACCAAACTGTAAGCAACCTTCTCATCCCTCTGTGAAACCTGCAGCATACCCTGCTCACTGCCTTTCACCAACTCCAGACCAGAACAGAGTCCAACCCCAGAGCTGGGCGTTGAGGTGAGCACAGGTATGTCTAGTGAAAATACTGAATATTAACTACAATACTAGCACCACGTGTTTTAGTGTGTTTGACTCACATGGTGTGGGGCACCTACTGTAAACTGAAGCCTGCTGAACTGAACACTTTGTCAAATTAATGCCAAAAATGATGAAAAGAAGTTGATAAAATGTCATACTTAGATTCACATTTAGATACTTTATAGGAAAGAGTCTAACCTCGCTGACTGATTGCTTTCTTTTTCAGAGAAGCCACAGCACCCTGCGTCGCACGCACTGAGGATGTAATAAGATTAACAACATGATCGACTTCTGTGAGAGCAGGATTTAGGTAGCTGCTCTGCACACAGATATAGGAAATGACAGAGGAAGGATCGCTTCCTTAGAGTTGCACACAGAAACCAGCCCTCGTGTTGGTCTTTCCTGGGGAAATACAGGTCTTGCATCATTTAGTGCTTCGCACCCAGGGGTCATGATAGCAGCTGAAGGCTGACCTGAAAAGTGTGATGAAGAGTGATATTCATGTGGTGTTGCATCATTCTGAAAAATTTCCAGTTTCGAGCAACATAAGAAACCAAAAAATAAAAAGGGACATGATAAGTGTTTTTACATAAATGATTCGACTTGTTGTGGATTATTTCCTGGGGTTCACCAACGTCTACACCAGCTTCTACTTGTCATCACAGAAGCTATAGACCCTGTGCACGAGAAAATGCTGACCTCCTGTATTAAGACCTGATGTAGAGTTGACCGTTTCCGGTAGCTTTATTTTTCAATTGCTAGTGCGAAGATGGACCCAAAAAACACAAAAACGGAAAGATTGCATTAAGTGACAAAGAGCAGGAGGTGGGTGTAAACAACCAATCGATCTGCACTCTTCAAACGTCAAAATTAAGCATGTGATGTTTTTATGACACAGCAGTGGTGGGTGTTCCACTCAACACAAGCAGAGCTGCATTACAAAATCAGAAGCACATCTCTGTACGGGGACACTTCTTATGATTCAAACTACAGGTGAACAATAGTCAAAGGTTCCCCGTTATGTTGATATCAGCTGGTCAAGTGCACACCTACACAGCATGTCAACAACAAAAAGCCACAGAAATAAATAAATGAATGATTGCTGGTAGGGGTCTCTATATATTAGTATTTACGAAGGGTATGTTGAGATCTTCTTATGGCCTCTGACAGCGGACTCATGTCCGTGCTTGTTCTGCTAGACCTCAGTGCAGCACTGCAGTGGTTTGTATCATATCAATCTAATAGACTTTGTTCACATAAATGGAGAGTCCTCTTTAAACACTAAGGTTCTGGAGTTCCACAGGGTTCAGTGCTAGGACCAATTCTGTGTACATTATACATGCTTCCCTTAGGCAGCATCATTAGAAGCCATAGCATACACTTTCATTGCTCCACCACTCTGCATTTAATCATTATTTATTTTTCATCTCTGGCTCTCAGTGTCTTTTGTCCCGTCTTCCTCCCCTCACCGCCGACTGATCGTGGAGATTGCTGGCCATCCCTGAGCCTGGTTCTGCTGGAGGTTTCTTCCTGTTGCCAGGTGCTAGCTCACACAGGGTTTTCTCTCTATTGTTGTAGGGGGTATACCGTGTAATATAAAGAAGCTTGAGGTGACTGATGTTGTGATTTGGCGCTATAATTGAATTGTGTTTTTCTGTTGTGGTTCTGTTGGCTTCATCAGGTAGTGGCCTTCAGCATACAATGGACTGGTTCACAGGTGAGTCTAAACCACCAGGAATGGGAATCAGCACCTCCAAGTCTGTTCACGGGGGAGTGGAAGATTAAACGATGGATTGGTCTGTGGTTAAGAGAGAGACTGCACACTTCCTCCAAAGGGTGCATGGGAGTTGCTGACACTTAGAAATATGGCAAAGAGTTTAATCATTTAGGAGAAACTCAGAGTGGAAGTGCAACTCCATATCGAAAGGAGCCGGGTGAGGTGGTTCAGGCCTCTTACTCAGATGGTGGCTGGATGAGGCATTCTGTGAATGTTCTACCAACAGGAGGTCCCGGGTCAGACCAAGGACATGCTGGGGAGATTATATGCCTCGACTGGCGTGGGAACACCTAGGTGCCTCCCCACATGGGCTGAAGGAGGTGACTGAGGAGAGGAAGATGTGAGTTTATTCACTCAAGATGCTGCTCAGCCCCCGATAATCAGGAGAAGATTAATGGGTAGAATATGATATAACAAACACTGGATGATATACATATATACTATATTAAACTGTAACATGAAAGAAAATGGAAAAAATCAGAGGAAACCATGAAGCAAAGTACGATGCAATGTATTTGAATCCAATTTCCTACATTTGATCAGTTTCCTTTGATTTTACATTTAAAGTTGTACAAGTTGTACACGGGAAAAAGTGATTACAATTATTATCATGCACACAGTGTTGACTCATGAATAAATACAGTACATTTTCTAATAAGTGAAAAAAATAAAAGGATACAACAGCAACACAAAGCGAAAATTACCAACAAAACAACAGTTAAAGCAATTTTTTCTTTAGTCTTTTGAAACATTTTGTGGAGGCACAGTTTTTATTTTATATGAAAAGAATAATTCGGTGCTCCTACTTCTGATTGAAAACAGACCTAAAACAGAGTTTTTAATAATCTGAAAGCTTAAACGTTTACCCGTAGCGTTATTATTTGAATAGGGATACCACTCCTCAGCTTTCATTATTAATGTGTTTATTCATGCATATACAGCAATGATCTGACCTTCTGATTATTTTCGATTGAAGAGTTCAGGAACATCTCAATAATCACTTCATCAACATTCATGATAAACAAACATCTGAGTAAACGTGATTCAGTAAAAACACACGATATGATAATAACCTCACTGTTGATCTTCATGTTAAGCTGACTTTAATGAGTCACAGCTAAATGAATTTCACTGTATAGGACATGCACCGCTTTTCACGGCCACAACTGTAGCTCCAGCTACAGCTCCCACTACAGCTCCCACTGCAGCTCCAATTGGGCCTCCTACAGCTCCAACACCTGCTCCAATAGCAACTTCAACAGCAAGTCCAACACCAGCTCCCAGACCAATACCAGGAATTGCTCCAGCAGCAGCCACAACGGCCTGGATGAACCAGTTGTCTTTCTCTGCCAGTCTCCGTGCTTCCTGGGGTGTCATGCCTGGATTTTCCTTCAGAAGTCGGCCCATCTCCTCTTTTATGGCTTTCTCTGCCTCCAGGAATTTTTCATTGGTGTAGCAGCTTCCTCCGTTTCTCTGAACCATTGTGTTGATCTTCTCCAACACCTCTCTGACCTGAGTGGGATCTTTCTTTCTGTTGTTAAAAACATGATATCTTCTCTGACACTGATCGAGGAAGTCATTGAGAGCTTTACTTTTATGGATAAATGTTTCTATGTTCATGTCGTCGGCCTCCAGATTGTCTCCATGTGTGAACAAGGCCATAGTGTACTGTGCTGCTGTTTCTCCAAACACCTTCTGAAGGATTTTCACTGTTTCTTGTTCTTCTTTTGTGAATCTGCCAGCCTGGAGCACAACCAGGAACACATGAGGACCAGGAGCAACAAATGAGATTGATCTAGCGATCTCTCTTTTCACCTCCTTTTCAGTTTTGCTGGTGTCGAACAGACCCGGAGTATCAATGACAGCCAGCGCGTGACCACCAAATTCTCCCGTTTCCTTTCGGCACTCTAACGTTACTGTGGAAGGAGATGTTGTGGATATAAAAGTTCTTGTTCCTAAGATGGTGTTTCCTGTTGCGCTCTTCCCAACTCCAGTTTTCCCAACGAGGACTATCCGGAACTTGGGTTCTTCCTCTTCTTCATCATCTGCCAAACAATGTTAAAAACATGACGCTGATGTTAATGTTGATCAGATGTGTACATCTGACATTTTCGTTCCCTTTTCCTTTGGAAGAAAATGTTTTTTGTTTTTTTTAAACATCAGCACTTTAAAAAGTATGCTTTAGTTATCTGGAGCCTAAACAGTAGTAACAGACAGTACCAGGCTGCTGAGATGGATGAAGGAGAAGCAAAACCTTGCAATTGTGATGAATTTTGCAAGAAAGAACTGCAAGAACGTTATATTAATACGAATTTTTAAAACAGAAGTTACATAGAATTTACAGGAAGCAGAGGGTCTGTTTTACGTGTGGACCAATCCATCTAAAATCAACCTGTTTTTACAACATTAACATTATCGTGTTAAAATGTTTAATAACTGGACATTTACAATATGAAAAAGTTCAGCAATCCCATATTTCAGCACACACTAATAGAGATTGACAGACCACGTGACTTTCGCGCATTGCATGCTGGGACCTCGTGGCAAAACAATCAAAGCAATGCATCAAACGCAAGCATTTGCAGCACCGCAAAACGTTCATTCTCCCGTTCCAAAACCTTCTTGCGTTTTCTTTTCCCCCCAAAAAGTTCTGTACAAAACGAAGGAGAACAATGCCGGTCCGTACAAAGACAGACTTGATGAAAAGTCAAAGAAAAGATACGAGGAAAAAATCAAAGGAGCGAAAGGGTCAGACCCTCACGAGCACACAGAGTAGACAAAAGACGTTAGCGTGCTGCCCGACTTTCACCACGCTCATATTTATAATTACACGGTTCTTGGAGTGAGTGCACACACTCGTGAAGTTTAGTAACTTCAGGTCACTGCAACAAGCCCAGGTACAGTTTACCGACGGATGGGTGCAGGACCTTGAAATGCACCGTGTAGAAAGTAAAGACCATCGTACGTATCATAAGTTTACCAGTCTCACAAATCGTCGTCATAAACACACATTCGTTAACCGTTTATTAATAGGACCTTTGAGCTCAACGGTAATTAATTAGTAGTGGAAATAATTTCTGGTTCATTACAGAAATGTAGCAGTGACCAGTGTTGGTCAAGTTACTTGAAAAAAGTAATCAGTAACTAATTACTGATTACTTCCCCCAAAAAGTAATCCCGTTACTTTACTGATTACTTATCTTCAAAAGTAATTAATTACTTAGTTACTTAGTTACTTTTTAAAAACACGATTTACAACCTGAATAGGTGATAAAGTGATAGATCTTTCAGCCCAATTCTACTTTTTCTGCATAATCCATCATACAAAATGTAATCAGATGGAAACGTCTCTTTTTAAAACTTGTTTTATTAGTTTTAATCTTTTAACTTTATGCATCAAGCAAAGATTTAATTATATGCAACATTCTCTGACTGGAAGAAATTAGTTTAACATTTAAACCTATTTTCTGCACATAAAATAAAATATTTTGTGTGTTTACACTCAGTCTTTCAAATAGATGCAAGTAAAACACAGCAGAAAATAAATAAAGTCAAAGACTCAGCGGTCCTGTTGGTCTATTTTCACCTGTAAAGCAGGAGTGGGGTAGGCGGAGGGTTACCCTGGTGCAGGTGTGCCGCGGTCAGTGGAAGAATCCGCGAGTTTCTCTGTGAGTTTCCCATTACGTCGTAGCTACTCGGTGCTTGTTGGAAGTTTAGGGGTTTTTTCGCTGTAAAAAGAAGTTTTCTTCCCACGCACAGCGGACACTAATGTTTTTGTCACTTTTTATGGAATCAAACTCAAAGTAAGGTCAGTACTTCCACGCTTTAAACGCTGCACGCTCATACTCTCTCTCTGCACTCGATATGTGATCCATTGTTGATCTGCACACAGCTGTTGTCACGAACGTCGCACTCGCTTACGTCACTGTTGTGAGACATTCTCGCAAAAAATCACGGTTTTAGTAACGCAGCGTTCCTACGGGAAAGTAACGGTAATCTAATTACCAATTTTGCAATAGTAATCCCTTACTTTACTCATTACCTGAAAAAAGTAATCAGATTACAGTAACGCGTTACAAGTAGCGCGTTACTGCCCATCTCTGGCACTGACAATTCACTATTTATGCACAATAAATAAAGGAGCATAGCGCGACAATTTCTGTTCAGCGCCAGACTTGCTTGTAACCTATATCACTAATTATGTTAAGAAAAATGACGTATTAACTATAACAGCAGACTGACCTTTGTGGAAATGCTTTGGAGCAGACTAACCAGTGAGTGTTCTGGGACGTTATATTTGGTCTTTGAATGGCTGCAATCCAGGCCATCCGTCGCCTCTTTGTTACTTTGGAAACACGACTCGAACAATTTCTCTTCAACGACGTAATCCGATAAAAACTGATCTCTTTACCCGTCGGCTTCCCGTGGCTGTCATGCGACCGGCTACTGCAGTTAATAATACAACAGCTTCTTGACATTTTTTGTGTTTCTTTTTATCGCTGTGTGATGTAATTTCAATTGAAAGCCTGCGTGCGCTAGTACCTCTCGCCACGAGTTCCCAGAATCCTTTGTGGTTTTACCCCTGAATGACGTCATATTTTCAATCTCTATTTAAAAAAAAAAACATCAAAAAAACCCCAAAACAATTACTGACTGAATATGTTAGATCAGATTCTACAAATAATAATAAAAACATAAAAACAACAAAAGCAAAACAACCAAAGAAATAGAGAAGAGAACATAAGTGCTAAAAACAGACGTGTAGTGAGCTCTATTAGTTTCCATGTACTTACCTAGCAGAGCATATGTGCTGTCCATGTTTGTCCCTCTGTAAGTGGCTTGTTTGTAATTGTGTTGCATGTCTGACTGCTTTCTGTTTATAGTGTCTCAGTATGAGAGTCTGCTTCTAGTCCTGCCCTCAAACATGTGACATCGTTATACGCGAGATGAGGAAAAATGGGTAACCCAGGTTACAAATGTTACCATGATGCAGCTATAAGAAAAGAACAACCTGAACAATGAATGACATCAAATACAACGTTTGATTACAACAGCTGATTGAGCTGAAAATTAATTGCAATTTTCCTCTGTAGGTCTCTGTGGGCCTTGTTTACATCCACAACACTAATGGTTGCATTTAACACGTCATACACTCATATACTCATAAAGTAAAAAAATCGTTTGTGGCTATGGTCCTAACATGATGTGGTGGTGTGACCGTGAGTTTGGGAACTGTGGGGGAGACCCAAGCCAAACCCATGTGCTGTTACTGTGGCCGAGAGTGAAAGAGAAAGTTTCATATGCCCCGATGACTGGACAGAAAACCGCTGCAAGTGTTACGCAAGAAAAGAAGGAGAGTATTCATAGTAGGAATTATGACCGCTGGCCCCAGTCTTCTCTAACATTTGGAATAAAAATGGCTCCGTGGAAATGAACCCTCCAGAGAGGGCTTCTTTAAGAGTTTAGACTATTAGACTGTGTTTTAGTGTTTCCACTGAGATCTCAGTGAAGTGGTTTAGAGGATGTGGGGGTAGGGAGGGGGGATCTGGGTTTAGCTCTACGAAGATCAGTCATTTTATTGGTTCTATATTCAAAACATTGTTCATTCTTTTCCAATGAAGATGATGAAGATTCAGTGTGATAAGATAAGATAACCTTTATTAGTCCCACGCGTGGGAAATTTGGTTTGTTACAGCAGTGGACAGTGCAAAGTTGCACAGAAAAATTAGAAGAAGAAAAAAAACACTGGAATAATATATCCATAAGATATTGTACACAATAGAATAGAATAAAACGAAATGCTATATACAATCGAATAAAATAGAATACAAATGCTATATACAATATGAGTACAATACAACGATGCCAGAAAGAGTACTGCAATAGATGGGTAGACCGAGAACCAATCACAGTTAGTTTTAAAAGGATTCTGGACGTGTGACCGTGGTGAATGTGAAAGACAGTAGTTCCCTGAATTTCATCTGGTTGTCACAATCAACGGAAGCAGGACCCAAACACAGACACGTGAAAATGAAACTTCTAACGAGCCGTTTATTATGGCTGATTAAGCAGTACAAAAAGAAAAAGGCCAAGTCAAAACAAAAGTGGACAAAACCTAAACTGGGAAATTAGAAACATGAAAAAACCCTAAACATGGAAACCTGACAAAAAATATCAGAATATCTGAAACTGTGAAATCCTGGAAACATGGCAGGAACATAACAAACGACCTGACCGAGAATGAATGACAGCAGAACATAAAGGGAAGTGGACGCACACGGGGTACACCGTTGACACACATGAACATGACGCCTCATGGGAAGCAAAACTAAACACAATGACCACGGAACACGAGGCTGTCAAAATAAAACAGGCAGCAGAGACACAAAACTTAAGTGGGATAGTTAAGGAGACGATGGGAGACAAAGACATCACCAAAACACACAAAGGGCGAGCGGGACTTGACAGATTCGCACACTGAGGATGTGACACTATAGGGCTTTGGAGTTGACATCATGCCGCAATGCATTGTGGGAGTGCGGCGCCATTTTCGGGGTCTACGAATCAAAACAAACACACTGTGTTGGAACGATGATTACAAGAAAGATGCTTAAAAGCAGCTCAAAAGAGAATGAACTGTATAGAGACCGATTGTGTCCAGAGGCGACGCGGCGGTACTTGCAGAAAATAGCGTGCATTGGAAATGTGGACCCGTATGAAATACGGCCGTGGAGTAAAAACCCTGAAGACCAACCGCTATTGACGTAGCCTGACATATTCTCGTACCTTGTCAGCGCGTACAAGTCGTCATTCAAACAAAGGTAAGTCAGCTCGAGTACTGCGAGTGAAATGCGTTTGATTTCCCTGCAAACATTCAGATTAGTGCAGCATAAATTCATTCATGAGGGGAAATTACAGTGAGAACATGTGGAGGCTGTTAGAGGGATAACATAGTGAGTTCAGTGCATTGATGAGACACTGTCCTGAAGGATTTAGTTATTATATGGTTAAAGAAATTGCACTAATTTATTCATATTTATTGTAAATAATCCTAATTATGCATCTTGCTTCCATGTTTGTATCTTGAGTCACTAAAAATACATTTTTATTTTAATTTTATACTTTGATTAATGACCTGCAGAATCTCCTTATCATATTAAGTGATTCATAATTGTCACTTTATGCTTTCTCCATCTCTAAAGTGATGACATCCTTGCATTACATCCTTTAGGTTCATTTTCTGCAGGCAGGTTTCTGACAGAGAACAGGCAGATTTACACTATAACCTGCAGCTTTCTATAGATGGACACATAAAGAAATGAAAAATGACATGTATGTGCTAACTTTCTAAACACGTTGTTACATTTATGATAAAGTAGATTAAACACATTTGTGTCGGCCTTGGCTCATAGTTCTTGTCTTTAAATGAACTTTGTCTGTGTGTGTTTCAGGTGCTGCACTCTCAAAGACTGAATGAACCAGCATTGCAGCCATGGGTCACTGTGAGCATCACAGGGAAGGTTGAAGCCGCCCGCTGCAGCTGTAAGGCCGGAGTCGCAGAGACCTGCACCCACGTCACTGCTCTTCTGTTTAAAGTAGAAGCAACAGTGTTGATTGTGGCACAAGGACTGTTACAGATGAACCTGCATACTGGGTTTTGCTGGGTAATGTGAGCAAGATACAGCCAGAGGTTGGCCATAAGATAGACTTCTCCTCTTCAGCTGCCCAAAAAAAGGCTCTCAATCAAAACATAAACAGACCATCTGTAGTGACAGGTAAAAGGAGGGGTCCTCAAAACAGAAAAATCCCACCTGCTACTGTGGAGGAGTCGTCACTGCTATTGGATACTTTGCTGGAACACAGTGAAGCTGTGGGTTGTGGGAATGACCCATAATGTTTTATCTAGGGGTCTAGATTTATGCCTGTAGTGCACTGCCGTGTAAATAATTTGTATTAACTGAATATATACTGACTGAGTCCCACTGTTCAAAAGTTGAATAAAGAAACAAACTAATTTTTGCCTCTTTTTTTAAAATTAAAACCACCTTAAAGAACATCACATCAGTTACAATGATGATGTCATTTATAGTTTACAAAAGACAAAATGTTTACACAAAATCATGACAGTGTTTACATGATATCACCCACTACTAACACGACTTTATTTACTGTGTCTTTTGAAAAAATACAGCTATTTATACAGCACAAGACTAAAGAATATTTAACAGGAGCAGGTTTCATTTTCCCTGGTTTTATTATCACACTGTTCACCAAACGCAGCAAACCTTCACCATCTTATCCAGAAGGGTCACCTCTTCACCCTCACATGGAAGAAGTAATCTGATTGGCATGGTGGTATGTTTGAAGCAGGTCCCTTGTGTAGTGCTGGAACTCAGTCACGATGTTTCATCCATTTCATGGGCTGGTTTGCTGCAATAATGCCAAATAATTAGCATCTCTATAAATAGAAGGTACAGTAGTTCTGCAAAATCACTCAGTAGGATGTTTGTTGTAATTTGCTATGAGCTCAGAGTGCATGGAAAATAAAACTAATAGGCTATAAAGATATGAACATATTTAGAACTTACTGAAAATGTCTGGAGCACCAACAGATATTTGGAGATGGAAGAGAACTGCACGTCAGCTCATCTCACAGCTGCTATCCAGGCTAGACGCCTTCTTTTTGTAAGGTCCGCCATATGAGCTGCCTCATGTTGCTTCCAGGTTGGGAAAAAATGAAAAGATAAACCCTTTTCAAGCTTATTCTCTTGCCGGTCGTGCGATCGAACATTGCAGCCGACCACACAGCAAGAACGAACCATGGCTGTTGTGTGTGCCTTCGCTCCTTTTTCGCTTGCGCTTTGTTTAGACCCCCGAAAATGGCGGCTCGGGCCAAAATCCTTTCCACGCCCACCCCCGTGAGTGAGTCAGTAATAAGCCTTAAATATTACTGAATCACTTTAAACCAATAATATAATAATTCCCAGGTCTTGTCCACACATATGTGGGTATTTTGTAAAATGCTGCTTTTTCTCAGTGTTTTGGCCAAAGAGGTGAAACTTTTTAGATGCAGAAGGAGAATACAGATCACCCGACCCTCTCCCTGGCCAGCGGTCTCAATAGACCACAATATCTGAGAAAGATCACCCCCGCAAGGCAGCAGGACCAGACAACATCCCTGGACAGGCTCTTAAAGCATGTGCAACGAGCTGGCTGATGTTCTCACCTCCATCTTCAACCTTTCCTTCAGCCAGAGCATCGTTCCCACATGCTTCAAAACCACAACTATGATCCCTCACCCCAAGAAAAGCCCAGCCACCTGCCTAAACGACTACAGACCAGTTGCACTCACTCCAATTATTGCAAAGTGCTTTGAGAGAATGGCGCTGGCCTACATCCAGAGCAACATCCCAGACACTCTGGATCCCCTGCAGTATGCCTACGGCCCAACAGGTCCACGTCAGACGCCATCGCTGCTGCCCTTTACTGCTCACTCTCCAACCTAGAAACAATGACTCCTACATCAGGGTACTATTGGTTGATTACAGCTCCGCCTTCAATACTCTCATCCCACACAAACTCATCCACAAGCTGGCAAAACTCGGCCTGCACCCCACCCTATGTGACCGGCTACAGGACTCTTTGACTGGCAGGCCACCGTCCATCAGGATCGGCAACAGGACTTCAACCAGCATTATTACAAACACTGGCGTTCCACAGGGTTGCGTCCTCAGTCCCATCCTCTACACCCTGTACACCCACGACTGTGTCGCCTCCAACAAAGAGAACATCATACGAGGCGGCTTATAGGAGAGAGGCGACCGGTCTGGTGTCATGGTGTGAGGACAACAACCTCACC